CTAGTGCAGACATCGTGGACCTCGTCCACGATCTCCGCACTAGGCACAGGAAAGTGGCCGTCTAGGGCAGGAGAGCTGCCAGCCTGGCCACCCAGGACCAGGTGTGCATGAAAATCAAGGGGGTCCACTGAGACCCCCGACACTGAGCCCTGAGCTTACAATGGCCGTCCTGGGTCAGACCAAAGGTCCATCTAGCCCAGTAGCCTGTCTGCCGACAGAGGCCAACCCTAGGGACCCCGGAGGGGATGGACTGAAGACAGTGACCAATCCATTTGTCTCGTGCCATCCCTCTCCAGCCTTCCACAAACTTTGGGCAGGGACACCACTCCTACCCTCTGGCTAATAGGACTCCATGGACCCAACCTCCATGACTTGATCTCACTTCCCTTTCAACTCTGTTCTAGTTGTAGCCTTCACAGCCTCCTGCAGCAAGGAGTTCCACAGGTTGACTCTTTGCTTTGTAAAGAAGAACTTTCTGTTACTAGTTTGAAGCCTGCTACCCATTCCTTTCCTTTGGTGTCCTCTAGTCCTTCTTTATGGGAACTCAGGAAGAACTTTTCTGAATGCACCCTCTCCACCCAACCCCTGCTTTTAGAGACCTCTATCCTGTCCCCTCTCCGTCTCCTCTTTTCTAAGCTGAACAGTCCCAGTCTCTGTAGCCTTTCTTCATCTGGGACCTGTTCCCAACCCCTGATCATGTTAGTTGCCCTCCCCTCTCCCAGCCTTTCTCTTCCCTTCTCCCACCTCCTTTTCCCAGTCTCCCCCAGTTTTTTTTCAATAAAGACAGAGTCAATGTTGGAAGAAACGTTATCTTTATTTTGTACATCAATAAGAAGGGGGGCTAGGGAAGGGTAAGTGGAAGGAGGTGAGGGAGGAATGGGGTACGAGCCCCCGATGGGGAGGACTGAGCTGGCTCTGCGGGCTTCTGGGGGTGGAAGCTCTCCTGCAGCCCCCCAATTGCCCCCTCTCCCCAGATGGCAGCCTGCGGCAAGTGCAGCCGGTCTGATGGCCGAGTGCTGTGATGTGCCCAGTGTGGGCACTCCGGGCACTCCAAGCCAGGACTGGTTTGCAAGCGGGGCACCCTGAGAACTGTCTGTCCGGGGTGGGGGTCGGGTCCCTTTAAGCGCAGCCCTCGGCTAGCCTGAGACAGCATCTCCACACTCTAAGTCCTCCTCTGATGCCCTGCCGGCACTGCTTCCGGCCATCCTTAACCCCGGTTCAGGGTCCACTTAATGTGGACATGCTAGTTCGAATTAGCAAAACGCTAATTCGAACTAGTTTTTAGTTCTAGATGCGTTAGTTCGAATTAGCTTAGTTCGAATTAACTAATTCGAACTAAGTTAGTTCGAATTAACGTTGTAGTGTAGACATACCCTTAGAGACTAGGATCAAGTCACCCTTTAACCTTCTTTGTATTAAACTAAGTAGATTGAGCTCACTGAGTCTGCCACATGTTTTCTGATTCTTTAATCATGCGCCTTGCTCATGTATGACCCCTCTCTAACCTACCAGTATCATTCTTGAATTGTGGGCACCAGTTGGGACACAGGATTCCAGCAGCAGTCTAACCAGGCCAAATACAGAAATCCAATATCTTCTGCATTCCTTGCTGAGATTCCCGTTTATGCATTCCAGGATTGAATTAGCCTTTTTGGCCTCAGAATTGCATTGTGGAGTCATGTTCATCTGATTATTCACCGCAATCTCCAAGTCTTTTTTAGATTGCTGTTTCCCACAACAGAGTCCACCATCCTGTATTGCCTACACCTTTTTTATTCATAGCTGTGTACCTTTACATTTAGTTGTGTTAAAACATACCTTCTTTTCAGTTTATCAAGAGATCCAGATTTGTTCTGAATCAGTAACCGGTCCTCATTATCAATAACCAATCCCCCAATTTTTGTGTCATCTGCAAAGTTTGTCAGTGATTTTATGTGTCTTCCATGTTATTGATTAAGAAGTTAAAAAGCACAGGACCCAACACCGATCCTCTTTTCTCCTGTAAACCAAGGTCAGCTTTTTAACCAGCACCGGGGGCTGACAGCTTCCATGGACCCCATAGCAAGGTAAGGGGTGGCTCTAGGACTCTAGAAGGGGCCATGGTGCAGCAGGCCAGCTCCCCAGCCACCAGAGAAGGATGGGGCAGTGGCACAATATCCCAGCTCTCTGGCCACAGGGGAGGGTTAGGGCCAGGCTGCAGCACAGCAGCCCCAAATCTTCAGGTGGCCAGGAAGGATGGGGCTGTGAGTGGGTGGGGCTTGGCTGCCAAGGCGGGTCTCAGGCGGAAGGCATGGGGCTGGGGCTTGCCTTACCCGCAGCCCATGAATAGAAGCCACAGAAAACTGTGCAACCCATTTTGTATGACATAACCCTGATGGTGAACCCATTCAAATGCCTCCAGCAACCCACCTCCTGCCCAGCCCAGTGGCTTGGCAGTTTGCCAAATGGCACCAGGACTGATAATCTGTAGCTGTCCCAATCAAATGACTTTAGGGTCATGGGCTATCCACCTGGACCTCATCCAGGTGCCTGGATGGAGGGAGGGGTGGATACTGGAGATCCACCAGGAAGTGAGTAAGATGCTGCCTGGAATGGGAGGCAGACATTCCCATATGGAAGCAGGAGAGGAAGGAAGGGGAAGCGGAACATCCTGAAATACCAGCAGAGGCCTTGGACACACAAGACGGGAGATACAGCAGGATTTAGGTACTTCCCAGAGATCCATTAATCACTAGCACCTTTGAAGAGTAAAGTGATTGTGGTTCAGAGCTGTCTTTGCTAACTGAGTTCCCAGCCTTCCTGCTGTGTTGTCTCTCAAGGGGTTAAACTAGAAGCCCAGAGTGCCCCCAGCCCCCAGAGGTGTGTATGAGTGATCAGGAAGGCTAGGCTGGGGCCATCAATTCTGTGGTTGAGGGCTGCTGGGCTGTGGAACCCTATGGAGTCTGTGATGGTTGCCCCACCCCAGGTTTTATGAAGTTTGTCTTATTAATATAAATATGTGTAGCCCAAGGCTGTTTTAAACAATCTGCTGGATCTGTATATCATTCTTGTATGTGACATTAGAAATATGAAGTATGAGACTATTTTAGTTTTAAATGTGCTAATGAGAGCCATTACTGGTGCCTTCCCCCCACCCCCCGTTTCCCACCAAAGCCTTAACAACTTGATGATCAACTTAACAACTTATAAACAGCCTTGTTTGTCCTGTAAGTCCAAAGATAACTGGACAAAAAGTAAGACATGAGACCATACCATCTGGTACTGGATTCCATTTTGACCCAAGTATTTTTTCAGGGAAGCAGCAATGTAGAACAAAAGATTCCCGCCCCAGGGAAAAGATTGTGTAAGCAAGGGGAAGCTATCAACCCATTGTCTTCTTACTCCAATGAGCTGTTCTAGGTACAATCTTCAGGTCAGAGACTCTTTTACCCTGGCCTGAGCCCACAGCTCTTTGTATCCTTTTACAGACCAGCCAAAGACAAAAGGTTGATAGCTTTCCCCTTGCTTAAAAAGTCTTTTCCCCAGGGCAGGAATCTTTTGTTCTATGTTCCCCCTTCCATGAAAAAATACTCCGGTCAAAATGGAATCCAGTACCAGATGCTATGGTCCCATGTCTTACTAGTTCAATCACCTTTGGATTTACAGGACAAACAAGGCTGTTTACAAGTTGTTAAGTTGAGCATCAAGTTGTTAAGGCTTGGAGGGGGATAGGCACCTTCATATTTCTAACATCACATACGAGGATGATACATGCTTCAAAATAGAATATACAGATCCAGCAGATTGCAACATTAAAATGGATAGGTTACATGAGGTATTTTGTTCAAAGCAGCTATGAGTTATGCATATTTATATTCATACGCCAAACTTATAAAGCATGGGGGAGGCATCATAGGGTCAACCGAGAAACCCAGGGCTGGGAACAATGACCTTGCTTGGCCCAAACCCAGCTCCCCCTGGGTCCCTGCACAACAGACAGGACATAGATCACATAATGCCAGGTTCACAGTGTAATTGACAGAGGTTTGCCTGGATGTGGCTGGGCCCAGCAGGATTGGCCTTTTACGGCGAAGGCTCAGCTGGGCCTGGGGCCTCTTCAGTGCCAGGTGGCCCCTCATCCCCAGTGTCAATGTCATAGTGGGGTGGGACCTGCCTGTGCCCAGCACTGGGCACATACTCCACTACTTGGACACGGCCATCAGGCCTCTCCAGTTGCCGGTAGCGGGGGCAGCCCACAGCATAGAACAGCTGCTCTTTGATCCTGCGGCCCCGCTCTAGCCCCTGGCTTGGGGGCTCTGCTGGATTCAACTCTTGCTCTACCAGTGAGCGAAACAGCTGCTGGTACTCGCCTAGGGACAGACCGTGGATCTGGAGTGGCTGGACAGCCTGAGCCTTTGCTCTCCTCTTCACCCTGGCGGGCTGGGGACTGCAGAAGACTCTGGCTGCTGTGTTTCCAGGGGGCACAGAGGCCCAGGGTCCCTGTGAAAAAGGCCAGAGCTAGAGTGAAGGGCCAAACCAGGACTAAGAGCTACACATCCCGCCCTGACAGCAACCCCCTGTCGCTGCCTTCCTCAAGTCCTACAGGCTAGGAGTGTGGACCTCTCCACTTCACATAAGCCAGCTGTATAATAATGCCCATGCTGCTCCCTCTAGAGGCCTCCCTTTAGCTGAGCATCCCAGCACTTTCTAACCAGCAATTCACTAACACCAGGAAGGAATCATGGAGAGCACTGAGATGGAGATGCCTCTGGTGAGAGGCAGGGACTGTTTGTATGTTGATCCCTCACCTGGCACCTCACCTCTGGGGTGGGGCACAAGGGCTCTCTCTACAGCAGTGGTCATCAACCAGTAGATCGGGATTTACTGATAGATTTTGGTGATCCTGACTGGTTTGGCCAGGAGGCTGTCAAGTGCTCCTGTAGCCAGACAGCTCCTCACCCCACTGCTGCACATCTCCTGCCCTTTGCCTTGGAGCTGCCTCCCCCCGCCCCTCCAGGAGCCTCCTGCTTGCTGGGCAGTGGAGGAAGAGAAGAGGCACTGATGTCAAGATGCCCCCTCTCCCACCCTGTATCCTATCTCCACAGAGCAGGGCGGGGGGCACAACAGGACTTGGGATGGAGTTTGCTGGCTGCTTTTGGGAGTGATGCAGGGTCAGGGCAGGGGTGAGCCTGCCTTAGTCCCACTGAACTGCCACCCAGGAGCCACCTGAGGTAAGCAGGGCCCAGTCAGAGCCCACATCCTGAAACCCTTCCCCCCTTGCATGAACCCCCTCTTGCAACCCAAGCCCCTCATACTCCTGCATCTAAACGTCCTCCCAAAGCCTGCACCTAGAACCCCCTCCGGCACCCCAACTGTCTGCCCCAAGCTCAGCTCAGAGCCCCTCTCACACTCCACATCCATTAATCCAAGACTAGAGCCGCCCCCCTGGCACACTGCCCCTGCCTGGTGAAAATGAGGGAGGATGGGGGAGGGATGGAGGATGGAGTGAGTAGGGGCGGGGCCTTGGAGAAGGGGCACGAAGGAGGCGGGACAAGGGTATTTGGGTGTTAGGTAGATCTTGGATTGAACTTAAATTTAAAAAGTGATCTCGTGCTTAAAAAGGTTGGAGACCCCTGCTCTACTGGGATACTCAATGCTGAGATGCAGGTCCCTCTCAGCTGGTGTTCAGGGGCTGTTTATACAGAGGATTCCCTGGTAGGGTTAGATAAGATGCTTTGTTCATACTTGTAGGATCTCTAAGGATCACTGACCAGCCTGGGCTGTGGCTCTGAGCCAGTTTCCCAGATCTCAGACCCCAATTTGTTATACACATACACCTGCACCAGCACTGCTGCCCTCCCAACTCACCTGACTAGCTCTGTGCTTTGAGCCCTGATGCATTTGCTGGCGTCTTCTGACTGAAGCCAGCCCCACTCTCTGTGAGCTGGGGACTCTTTGCATGCTGCCCTCAGTGTCTGTCCAGCTGCAGTAGTTGTGCTCCTGTGCCACAATGCTCCCGGGTGCCCAAGGGGCTGGGAGGATGCTGTGAGCTGGCCATGCTGGGTAGACCAAGGCTTGGCCTGCCCCATGAGGTATGAGGCCTGGGTGCGATCCTGCTTCTGGGGGTTGCTGCAAGGGGAGGATAGACAGACAGATGGGGGATGGTGAAAGTAGCTGCTGTTCTCAATATGACAGTATCTGACATTTCTCTAGTGAGATCCTAACAGGCACTGTGGCTCTGTATATACAGAGACTGCTTCTCCTGCTACTCAGATGCAGTTGGCTCTGGGGTGGGACACAGCAGCTGTTTACACAACAATTCCTCATGCAGCATTGAGATGAGGCTGGCACTGGGTGAGGTGTGGAGGCTGTTTATACAGGGATCCCTTGTCCAGAACTAAGCTGCAGCCTGTTCTAGGGAGGGGCACAGAGGCTATCATCCAGATCCCTCATCCAGTGGGAAGATGCAGCTGCCTCTGGGGTGGGGCAAGGTCGGACAACCATTTGATATCCACATAACAGACTTCTCCCATCCACTGCCTCTCACCATCCTGACTAGCCTGGGTGCTTCTCACCCTCTACTGGCACTGGACCCAGGAATGTCAAAGTTCTGCCCATGTGCGCAGGTTCCGGATGCAAGGCATCACCGAGGAAACATTTGTGCCCTCAGCTGGGATGTTCCAATCTGAGCGGTGTCATGCTGGCTTAGGGAGTTGTCTTTTATTGCCCCATCTCATGCCACATGTGCCCTCAAAGCAAACTCATCTCTTCTTCTGCCTGCCCCATAGTGCAAGAAAGGAACGAAGAGATTCCATCCATCACCTAAGATCTCAACCCCAGGGTTGAGGTCAGATTGGTTCCCTTAGTTCACATCTCCCTGTGTAAAGTCAAGCTGCCATCTCCACATCTTTCTTGCAGTAACAAGAGCTGGGACCCCTGAAATATCTCCTTTGCTTGCATTTCCCTGACTGGGGAGGTCCATCTCGCTCGGCTGGGGGTGGGGGGTGGATTTAGGAGACCATGAGGAATCTAGTGGGGAGCTGAGTTTGTAGAGGTCATGGCTAGGACTATAGTCCTAGCCAATGTTCCTTCTAAACCTTTCCATCCCTGTGTGGATTTTTTCCATCTACAGGAGGAATAAATGTTTATTCAAGACATTTACAAATGTGAACCACCGGTAGAAACAAAGCCTAGCTGTGGGCACTCTTCTAATCAGCTGGGTGGCATCTGAATCTCTCTTGAGCGGTTGCACAAGCGCACAGCTTACAGGGAACACTGGTCCTAGCCCAGTGTCTATTCCCTGCTGGGCCCTGGGCTATGTGCATCCCACAGGGCCTGGAGTTGGGATGCAGACTGTGGCTGTAGCACAGTCTCATCGGCATCACATAGCCCTGGCACTCAATAGGATACAAAAATTTGGCCTCATCAGGATTGTGGAGGTTGACTGGAACTGCTATTCCAGAGTCAAAGCAGCCACCCAGGGAGCTGCTCCAGAACAGTTCTAATGCTTTGAATCCATACTTTACCTTAATCCAAAATAACTTCACTGTGCAGACAAGCCCTAAATGAGTCTGACATTACAAATGTTTTTGATTTAATGAACACAAGTAATGTATCAATACTTTTAATTTAAGTGCTATTTTAAAAAAAATAGGTTGAAGCAAAAAATCAACTAGAAAGGGAACTTGAATAAAATAGGAAAATCATTAAAAGTCAGAAAAAAAATGCATGGACAGGCTATGGCTGGCTGGTGTTTTTCCATCACAGTAAAAAGCACCGAGACAAAATCAACATTTTGATCTCCACACAAAAATGACCTTTTAGTAGAGGCCAAATTAGTAGAATCTTATAACATGTACAACTGCTGATGGAGATTAGCAAGAGAAAGCAAAACACAACCTGACTGCTTTTCATATTTGTTTAGGTGTGTATGGTGCCTTAAATTCATACAAAACACAAAAACAGATGTTAGCAGCCACATAAAGGCCTGATCATGGACATTCTCCAGAGACTGCCTAGACCTCTGTGTAGCAGATAATATAATGGTGACTGATCACAGAGATGAGAAGGTTTCACAGGAAATATGGAAAAAGGGAAAACACTTTTGGGAGAATTTAATTTATCAAGGAAGCAGAATTCTGAATTGTCAGTGTAATACTGTGCAGTTCAATATTTGGGATTTATGCATCTCCTCATTTAGTTGTCATAATTCTGAAGTTTTATATGGGGGACCACTTCACTATATCTGAAGTGGCTCTAGGCTGTCCCAGAAGGGACAGGGCCTCTGGCAGAAGAGGCAGGGCCAGGACATTTTCATGCTCCCCCTCCCACAGACCCTGATTGACCTGTGGGTGGTGAAGCTAGGGTTACCAGGTAGACCCCCCCAAAAAAACAGACACACTTGATCGTGGGTGGGTGAGGGGACTGTCTGGGAGGGGGCGGGGCTGGCCGGGAGGAAGGGGGGGCAGGAAGCACAGCTGGGGGGGGTCGGGGGCCGCGGGGGGCTGCGGCCGGGGGCCCACAGGCCGGGGCCCCCCCCC